CTTCTTTTATTTATTAATTTTTTGAGTCAGGGTTCTCACTAAGTTGCTTAGAGCCGTTGCGTGCCTGGCCGTTGTGCACTTTCTTTACCCACAGAGATAATTGTTGCTCATAGTAGGTAGCCATGAATTTACATAATTTTTAGACCTGCTGTTTTGCAGTCTTCCTATTCCTGAAAGATCCTTCATATTTTCAATTTGCTTCATGAAAAACATCAAGTTAGTGGCATTAGATAACCTATAATTTTGGGAAGAAATGTGGTCTCTTAAAGACAATGGCACATTTCACATAAAGATATATTATTTAAGAATTCATTGGTACATTTTATAGTTTGCAAATGCCATTTTCAGTCCTCAAAATCTAAGTGCCTGTCCTTTTTTAATAAATTGTCAATATGGATGTTATTTCCTGCTAAAATTCTAGTCCTTTCATTCTTTCTCCTTGCAGTGTAGTTTTTCCTGCATGCTTTTTTCCCTAACATCTAATGAAATGTTTTAAATACACAGGTAACTTTGCATGATATTTGAAATTTGTTCTGTTATACAAAGGTACAAATCATGTTAACAATACATTAAATTGGTTGTGAAATAGATTCCTTCATGTAATATATTAGTAAGGAAATGCAGAAAAGTATATTTTAGTACAACTAGTAATATTGTTTTTTGCCTGTATCACAAAAGTACACTTGTCACTTGTGATTTAACTTGGGTGAAAAGGCTATTACTGACTATCTTTGGAGATCAAGGGAAAAGATAGTGTGCTTTTTGCCCAATGCTTTGCTTTAATTAATGCTTTTGAAATGCTGAAAAAGTAATTTTTTATTCTTTTAGTCTACTGATACTTTTTGATTTGGGTCTTTGAATTTTTTTTTTCTTTCTCCAGCCACAAAAGTAATCTTGTCCTAACTGGACCTAGAATTAATTTTAACATTGTAAAAGCATTGAGGTATTTTTTTGTATTTCTTTTTCCCAGAGAATTCTCAGCAAGCACATTTTTATAAAATATTTCCTGTCATGGGAAAAAGTATCTAAAATAATGACTGCAGTTCTAAAAATTACAGTCTTAAAAAGACTTTATGCTCTTAATTAAAAATGAATTTAAAAGTTATTGTATCCACAATAAAGTTTTTCATAATTTTTTTCCTTCCTCTTGACTCTTACAAATCAATAAATGCCAATAGGGTATTTACCAAAATTTTCTTTTGGCTTAGCTTTTGTAAACCAAGACCCTTGTAAATTAATTAATTCCTCCTTGGGTATTGCCCTTTTTTTTTTTTTTTTTTTTTTGGTATACTAGGGATTGAACCCAGGGTTGCTTCAGCACTGAGTTACATTTTCCAGTCTTCTTAATTTTGAGACAGGCTCTTGCTAAATTGTTAATGCTAGTCTCTTACTTGTGGTCTTCCTCCCTCAGCCTCCCGAGTGGTTGAGATTGCAGCTATGCGCCACCATGCCCAGCTCAGGCATTGCTTTTTAACTCATATTGCCTGCTACTAAATCAGTACCGCAGAAAGCACTTGCTGGAAAGCCTGATTTCACCTGGTACTCTTTTATCAGCTAATTGCTTCCCATATGCTGCCAGCAGGTCCTGCAGTAGTCCTGCAATGTGTTGTCTCAATTAATAAAGAAAAGTAAACACTTTCCAGAAGGCAAAAGAGCACGTTTTTACTTAATACCACCCCATATCCCATGTTTACTTTCCAAAATCATCTTGGCTTCTAGGCATAAAAGTCAGTTTTTCAGATGTATTTAAACTCTCCTTTTTATTGCTTAGTATTGCTTAGTCAAGAGAAATGGGGTTGAAGGAAGGAAGTTTCTTAGGATAACCGAACAGCCACTTATCTAGAAATTTATTCTCTCTAGTTTACACTGGGAGCCCTGTTCAGATCTGACTTCTTAGAAAGGGATCGAGCAATCTTAAGCTTTTAAAAATTTTTTGACTGTTTTATTTATCTGTTTATCAAGTTTATAGTCAAACACAGTGATGTAGGCCTGTAATTTCAGTGCTCAGGAGGCTGAGGCAAGACGATTGCAAGTTCAAGACCAGCTTCAGCAACTTAGTGAGAGTCTACAAACTTGACAAGACCCTGTCTCAAAATTTAAAAAAAAACAAAAGTCTTGGCATGTGGCTCAGTGATTAAGTGCCCCTGGGTTCAATCTCTGTTACCAAAAACAAACTAAACAACTCTAATTAACATTTTGATGGAAATTAACTCTGATTCTTCTTCTAGGCAGCACAGATTGTGCTCATCTCTCTGTTTGAATTGAACACTCCGGAATTTACCATGTTACTTGGTGCCTTGCCCAAAACATTCCAGGATGGTGCCACCAAACTGCTGCATAACCACCTCAAGAACTCTAGTAACACTAGTGTGGTGAGTGCCGGCTGCAGTTGGTGCCCCAGTTCCCATCATGACCTTTGGGTGTCCCATATCTAGCACTCACACTGAGAGGAGAGCCAGCTGCCTTGTTCTCTCTGCTTTTATATTGTGGTATTCCTCAAGGTGGGATCATGTCGGATCCTGGCATATTCCTGGATAATGAACCTGACACTGATAACAGCCTTTTTCTTAGTTTGTTTAATCAGTTAAATTTTTACTTGATCATATTTACTCATTCTTTGAGTCCCTCTTACCTTTTAACACTAAAAGAGGCAAAATGCTCAGTCATGTCTGTTAGTTTAGCACAGCTAATTCAGTCATTCAGCTCCAAGAATGCCTGTATCCACTTTTGGTTTATATGCACTCAAAATGGGCCCTGTGATTCTGGGAGAGGGAGTTATTGTGGCAGATTTTATACATTTACACATGAGTTTAAAAACCAAGGGAAGAGCGGGGTTGTATTCTATAGAAAGAATTTGGATAACTTTTGCTTACTCTGCTTTCACCCCAGGGATCTCCAAGCAATACAATTGGCCGGACGCCCTCCCGACACCCCAGCAGCAGGACCAGCCCTCTGACCTCACCTACCAACTGTTCCCATGGGGGTCTATCACCAAGGTAAGCTTACTTCCACAAAAATGAAGAAACAAAAGGACCCTAATGTCTGTGCAGCCTGTTTCTGAATTTTTAGACTAAATTTATTGTTAAAAAAGAGTATTGACTCAGAAGACAATGGTTTCTTAGCCTTTGCTCCACCTGTACCTGGGATCCTGGGCAAAGGGGTAAAATGAGGAGTTTGGGCTAAATGTTCTTCTAGTTCTAAATGCTCCCAATACTCCAGACTGCTACACATTCTTGGCAAATAAATTGCAGAGCAGAAAGGCACCTCTGAGTCCCCTGTTTCGGGGGGGGGCGGGGGTGCGGATGGACTGGGGGCTCTCTACCACTGAGCCAAACCTTTTCTTTTTTTGAGACAGGGACTCATTAAAATTGCTTTGAACTTGCAATCCTCTTGTCCCAGTCTCCAAGTCACTGAGAGGACAGGCATGTGCCACCATACCCTGTTTAACACTTATAAATTTTAAAACTAGAAGCTCATCTAGTACTATTTGCATAGAATCCATGAGGAAGTTTATTACCCGTTCTCCAAGTGATAGGAGAACCTGAAGGTGTTTATTTAATCAGAGATACCCTCTATCATCAGTCCTTACTAAGTTTGGTCTACTTTTTCCAACCATTTGGCCAGTCCAAGCATAGTTGCTCTCCTGTTTGAAGCTAAATGCCAGGCTGGAGGATTGTGATTTAAAATCTGAGAATTAAATTGCATCAGCATGGCCAGGCATGGTGGTGCATACCTATAATCCTAGTGACTTGGGAGGCTGAGGCAGGAGGATTCCCAAGTTTGAGGACAGCCTCAGCAACTATTTTTTAAAAAGAGCGGGGGATGTGGCTCATTGGTAAAGTGTTTCTGGGTTCAATTCCCACTACCCAAAAAGAAAGAAAGAAAATTTGGATCAGCATATTCAGACTCCTATTGGGACCATGCAACAGTGGCCTTAGAATCTAGGACAGTGACTTCAAAAGAGAAAACACTTTGCCATGGCATCTTTAGATAATACTTCTCCATCTCACCAGAGCCTTTAGAAGTTTGTATAGTGGCTTTAGTGACTCCCTCCCATAACTTGGCCCCAGAGGTCTGAATTTTTCTGGACCAGCAATGTTCACACACACTGTGAAGTCCAGCTCTTTGGGCTCACTAACAGTAAGAACCAAGAGGCTTTTGTCCTGAGGATTACTGGTACCAAGATCTTAAAATGAAACTGAAGTACTACCATTTTCCCTTTAAGTTTTTACCTCTTTGTTTTTAAATTTCTATTTTAAAAATTATATTGTTAAATGATCCCATCTCACAAACTCCTTCCTTACCACTGAACCTCTTCATTTCCTCAGTTACCCTGTAAATATTTTGGAGTGTATCAAATTTGCATTTTTCTCTTGGTGAAATGAAATAGTTTCTACTGCCTTATGTGTATCCCTCCAAATGTCCCCATTATACAAGTATAATGAAGTCTGATGTGCTGATCTCCAAGTCTGGTCTGTGCTGTCAGGATTCTAAGCAGGCTATTAAGAGTTGAGGCCAGAAACTAATGAACCATATGTCTGATTTCCCCAGGTGAGAATGGGAGTCCACCAGCTTTTTTTTAAATTTTTTTATTTTTTTAATGCTAAGATCTGTATCTAAATTATATGGTTTGTCTTAAATGACTAGGATCCAGTGCTGATAGTATAATTTTATAGAATATTTGCATTCTCTATGAGTTGTTGCCTTCATCTAGATGTTATACTTCTACAACATTAATTGCAAAATCTGTTCTTCCATAATATACATTTCATGTATCTTTTACTTATTGTGTTATTAGGGTGTCACATTCTTCAGGTAATAAGCCACAAGGTATAACTCAAATTAAGTATCTTATTTTTCCATATGCTAGTAGCCTAGGTGAAACTTTGATGAGGGCTGTTAGTGGAATCCCAAAGAACGGGCTAGAAAATAGTCTTCATGGATCTTCAAATCATTAAAAATTTTAGTTTATTTTTCCAGTTCACCTTTCCTCTTTAATTGGCCTCATCTTAATTATTACTGTTAGGATTACAGAATAATGGGAGAAATTAAGAGATTTATATTCAGTATTAAAAATCCAAATGTGGCCTACATATTTTCTTGTGGACAAATTCTTCTTTAGATAATTATTTACATAGCTTCTTTCTTTAAAAAAAAAAAAAAAAAAAAAAGGCCTGCAATTCAGTGCTGAAATAGCCAAATGACTGTAGTCAACTTGAGCTCAATAGGAGAAATTATTTTTCTTACAACAGAGGGTGTCTTGCAGTGGGGGACATGCCTCATGTAGTTGTGGCACTAGAAGAAATAAGAAAAACTCAAGTAGGCTACAAACTGTCTAATAGGAAAAGAAGTGAATTCTTACACTAATAAGAGAATGGGTATTTGCCATGTTCTAAGGAGGCGAGAAACAAGCTCTGCAGTACACAGTCTCAGCAATTTTTCTGAGCAGTGCTCTTGAAATAAAATCTGCCATACCATGTTATGTTTTTATTCATATATAGTTGTCAATGGGCCTTTATTTTATTTATTTATATGTGGTGCTGAGAATCAAAACCAGTGCCTCAACACATGCTAGTTAAGCACTCTACCACTGAACCACCACTCCAGCTCTAGGTTTTTATTCTTAAGGGGAAAGTTATCACCAATCATTTATTTTTAATCTAATTTTGAGTGTCAAAATGAACTAGGAATTTTGGTAGTTTCACAGTTTTTTGGTGCAAAACTTTATGCTTGGATCATGGTAATTATAAAGAACCTTTCCAAAATGGTGAATAAATCTAATTTGATAGAGTTTTAAAACATCATGGGTAAGGAAGTCATTTTTATCAGCCCATCAATAACAGGTTAAACTTTTGTAAAACATCCCTTTAATGACTACCTGTTACCAACTAATTGTTGTTGATATTTAGTGAGATTTATGAACTGTGTTTTTCATTATTAAATACATTTATGTTTAAGCTCATTTTATGTGGTATGATTTTATGGCAAATGAAAAACAGAGTTGCAAAGAGCTTCAGAAATTATCTGAAGTTCATTCCCATCAAGAAAACAAAGCAGGTGAGGGTTTTGCTCCAGACTGCTGCACATTCTTGGCAAATATATTGCAGAGCAGAAAGGCACTGCATGGATCACCTCTGAGTTCCCTGGCAATGGAAAGTAATTTTAGGTGGATTTTACATTTTTCTGTCAGGGAATCAAAAGCATGCATAGAATCAAAATAGGGGTTAGCAGGGAGCCTCTGCCCCGTACTTGCAGATGGGCACATCTGTTTGGTTTTCATCCATCAGCAGAATCCCAGCTTAAGGGTGTCACCATATTCTTCTAGTGCCCAACCCCCTGTGTGACTTGGAGGGTTTCAGACCCTCCACGGCACAGTGACCTCTTATCTCCACACCGTATTTTCCTTATAAAATAGGGACCTTAACAAAAGCTCAGAACCTTAACAAAAGCACATGCTGGGGCTCCCCTGTTGGCCAAGGCAGGACTGCTCCACAGAAGCCCTGCCTCGTACCATGAACTTCACCCCACGTTCTCACCCCACTTCCCAGCCAGCTCAGCTCCTGCCTCCTGGTCTCTCGCTCCACCCTTTAGATTGCAACTGAGCTTGGACATTTCCATCATGGTCTCTGCAAGCCTAAGTCAGCTAGTGACATTTGGGAAGTGAAGACAAATACCTGTATTTTAGTGAGAATTTTAGTTCTCATATCAAGTAATACTAGCAGATGAATCAGATTCCTAAACTGGCCAGCTGAGGCTAAATGCCCCAAACAAGGTTCTGCCATTCTTTTAGAAAAAAAAGTGCCTATCTCCGAACTCTGATTGGATTGCAGCCTCAGAGCACTCTGTCCCATACCAGGTTGCTCTCTGTCCGAATAGCATGGTTTCTAAGTCTCCCTGGTGTGCTCACTCTGGTCCCATTTGAACCGAGGCCCCATAATTCCTCTTTCTAAATAACTGGTGAGTTGTCCAAAACTGAACATCCATATTTTCTTGTGTGTTAAGTGTTTATAATGTTCTTCCCAGCTCAAGCAGCAGGTACACACACTCTCTTTCATTGTTCACACATGCACTGTCAGACTCACAGATGCACAAACTCTCACAGGCACACTTGGAATCTCATGTGACTTTTAGGTGGTAAATGTGTCCTGTGGTTGGCAGAGAAGAGAATGAAGCGGTCTAATTAAGGACCAACTATAAAACAAAATGTGTTCTTTTTCTCTGAATGGTGAAGTGTTAATTTTGTTCCAGCTAAGTTTGATAGAACTTTTTTCAAGGAAAGAGGAGTGTGTAAGGCACTTAGAATGTAGCATCTTCCCTCCCCTGCCCTGTGCCTTCTGTGTTTCTCTCTCTGATTTTCCTCTTCTGATCACTGCAGTCGGTTGTGGGGTTGGAGTGCCGATGGGTTATCGAAGCACCCACCTCCCTTTTCTCAGCCTAACTCCATTCCCACCGCTCCCTCCCACAAGACTCTCAGGCGCTCTTACTCTCCCAGGTAACACCCTACCTGTTAAACTTGTCTGAGGTGTCACAATATTATTACATTTCCACGGTCGTCTCAGGTGTTTTGGAAGGCCTCTCAGCTCCTCCACCTTGATTCCTGCCTCAGCTTAGCCTAGCAGGAGTAGAGCCTTGGTGAGAAGTGTGAGCAGGTGTGTGACCTGGGCCAAATCTCATGAACTAATATGCACCATGTTTCAGCGACAATGACAGTGACCCTTTTATCACCTGACCAGATTCATCACTGTCTGCTCTCATGAGTATTTTGGCCCAGTGCACTGCTCAGCCCCTAGAAGCAGCTCAGGAAAGGTAGTTGAGAGTGGGAACAGTCTCCTTAGCAGGTTTCTCAGGCATAGGAGGCTTTCCACCCCGGAGCACACAAGACTGCGCTTCCCTGAACCTCACAGGTGGCCGTCAGCCTTTCTGTTACTGTATGGACTGACTTCCTTTCTCACGTACTGTGTCATATGGTGATACTCTTGAGCACACAGATCCAGAAAGAAGTCCCAAGAGATGGCGTCACTGTTGCTTCTCACTAAAGAATGACCCCTTCTCGGCAGGAAAGCTGTTGGTCATCTTGCAAGCCCATCATCAGTGCTGAGTGACATTCCCTGATGCTGGTTGACTGTGGCAGTGTTAGGCATCTAGAAGAAGGAAGTGTGCTTCTCTCAGGTATTAAGGCAGATGATAGGTCTGCAGGACCAAGAAGGATCTGTGTAATACTATAGATGCCTGATTAGAGGCTCTTGGGTGCAGAGATGAGACAGTCATTTGCCAGAAGTCCGTAATTACATGAGCAGAGCACCAGGCAGTCTGGCTGTCACTGTTTTCAAAGAAGATTTTGTGCCCTCTGTGATAGAATGAGGATTCAAAAAGCAAACAACAAAAACAGTCTGAAGTTTTGAATTGCTTCACAGATAGCTTTTGCACAGAAGATTTGCTTTCCTGCTTTTATGTCCCCAGAACAACAAAACTGAACACGGTATACAGGTTAACAGAATGCTTTCACATCTTTCTTTTGAAGCTCTCACAGGTCTGAAAGTAACTTGTAAAATGTTCAGAGAACCCTGTGGTGACTGTTTCTAGATATGCAAGTTTAAGCCAAGCAGAGAACACTGCTCTCTTTAATATTAACAAAATGTGTCACTTTTTAAAGTTAACCTTGTCTTGTAGTTTGGATCAGTTTACTGATAGTCTTCCAATATATTGCCCTGCATGCTAAGCCTCAGCCCCAGCCAGCCAACAGGACTGTCTCTAGAATCATCCCATTCCTAGAATCATCTTTCCCATAAACACAAAATAATGTATATTGATCTAACTCACCAGTGGATAACACTTTAAAAAGGAGTCTGTGTCTATCTTTTTGCTCTGTGCCAAAACCCCACTGATTTATCACTTAGTCCCCATATCTATTATCCTTAATCTACAAAATGACAAAGAGGAAAGCCTCAGCAAGCAGCTTCCTCTCTTTCTTGTTTCTTCTTGGAGACTTGACCCTGCACTCCCCCCGACTCCTGATAGGACAATTCCAGAGCTGTATTCAGCTGCAGTATTGGGTAACATGGTCTGACCTCAGGTTAATGACTATTAACAGATAGAATAACTTCCTAATCTAAAGAACTCTGAGGAAGCACTTTGGGGTTTAATCAGAGCGCTTACAGGTGATCAGGACCTGGCCTTTGACCTAAAGACTTTGTGCTGGGATCATCTAGGGCCTGACACAGACCACAGTGCAGGCAGCTAATGGAGTCTCTTCTCAGTGGGCTTCTGGGCCCTCCTGCTGTCCCTGAGAAGTGCTTTCAGCCCACTCCCTGACAACAATCTTCCTGGGAAGACCCTTCCTCCCTGTGAAGTGAGGGCTTCTAGTATTGATTGGGAAAGGCAAGTCAAGCCAAAGCATAGAACAGCAGAGAAAGTAACTGTTCCCTGGTTGGAAAGCAGTATGTCTCTCACCTGGAGCTCACCATTTTAGCTTCATACCAAGGAGATACTTCAAAGCTCAATCTAGCGATCCTGAAGGAGTCCTGTTTGAAGTGGGTTTATTCATTAAAAGTAATAAGGAGGAACATTAACTGGCAGAATCCTTTATTTTCTTATCTTCAAAAGAGGCTATTATAATGGTAAAGTCAATTAAACTGAAATGAACTGTTTGAAGAAAGTTCAGGTTGAGAATCATGACATGAATTTATCTGAAAGCCAACATTCTCTGAAGCGACACACGGAAAATAATATTGTGACATCCCATAATAAACTGACATTCTGCCAGACTGCCTCTTGTCCATCCATCACTTTCAGTTTTTTTGGTTTTGTTTTTTACTTTTGCATGGGCTATGCTATTATTTTTTTATTATTGTGACAAAGTATTTTAAGGCATTTTTTTACACCTTGTATATATATTTTGTTTGAGTCATAATTCTTAGTCTTTATATATAAATAGTGTACTGGTCAGATGTATAAATGCCTTTGTCTGGAAGTAAGCTGGTATTGCAGCATTCCTAGGAAAGGGGGCTGGGAGGGGGCTCTGCTCCCCAGTTGTGCTTTCTGCATATCCAGAGATACTGCCTTGGGGACAACCTTGTGAACTTAGAAGAGGTTGATATCTTGAATTTTGTTCAGGTTCTTATTCTACCTTTTGTTAGAATATACATGGAGTTTCACTTGCAGATATGTTCAAGTTCACATTTATTCATTTGGTACCAGAGCAAGGCTTTGAGTTGGCATGTGTTTTTGTGAACTCTTCAAATATAGTCTGGGTGTGTGTTTTCTTTCATTTGTCAAGAAAGAATGATCCTGTCTGGGCCAGTTTTGCCATCTTAGGCACATAGCTTCCGTTTCTGGAAGGAGTTCAGATGTTCTGCAGAAGCCAAGCCAGCCTTAGAAGACACTTGGATTGCTACACCCTCCAGCCAGCAGAGAGCTGGCTACTCGAAGTGGTACCTCTCCACATCATCTGTCCAGACCTTCTCTTTTCTTTTCTGTTTTTAGGTAAAGGTAGGGACTTACTAAAAGTTATTGCTTTTCAATTACAAGATTGCATGGGTCGGTTGTGTTGCTCTTAGGAAGGGTTCCTAACAGTAGGTGCCTAGTTTCTTCATTATTTCTCTCTTGAAGAGCAGAGAGTTACTTTTCTTTAGTTCTTAATAATTATCCATACTTACTAACACACACCAAGGATTCTCTGAATGTCCCTAACTGTCCTCAACATAGCTAAGGACTTTCTGAAAGTTAGACTAACTCACCTGATCTTTCCTTGAATACTTTGCTGAAACAAGTGACATTTAAACTAGGTTATATTTTTCAACTGACTTGTTCTCAGTTGACTGTTAAATAATGCTTGCTTTCTTTATATCAGTATATCCCGTTTTTGGTCTTTGTTATTCTCAGTGAGAGATGGCAATGAGTTTTGTTCTCAGAGTCCTCTCTGTTTCAGTGTACTTTTCTGACATATATGGACACTCGTTGACAAATGGCATTACACCAAAAGACTTCACATTTTTGATTCATGTCATGTTTTACTCAGCATCTCAAAGGACAGCAACTGACATCGATTTCCTTGAAGGACAGGTGTATCTTGCTTTTCGGAGTGTTTTTATATGTCTGTCCAGGAAGGTAGCACATCTTTGTAAGATCCACCTTTACTATAAAACTCAGTGTAGAAGCATCTAGAAGAGTGCAGTGTTCACAGCAAGCTCCTGGGTTGGACAGCTGGTAGTTAGATTCTCAGGAGCCTAGTAGGGTGGATCTGACTTTGAGCCACAGGGTAGTTTTGTTCTTGTTTTTTCATGTAGGATCTTCCTAGTTTTCGGGGTTGGTTGCTGACAGGCAAACATACCCCAGTCTTGTGAAGTCATTTGCCCTGCTCCTCTTGAAATTTGTTTGTAATAGTATTTTATTTCCAGGTGCCAGTTCTCTTAATTAAGTTTGTACATTTGAGACCAGTAACAACCAAACTAGTTTTTTCCATCTTCAAAATGAGAAAGTTGTTTTTCCACTTTCATTACCTCGTGCATTCAGTCACCAGTTGTCACTCTTTGAGTTCTTGCATTCTTGTGGTTATTGTTGTTTCCCACTGGTTCTTGAGTGCTTATGTAATGTGTGGGGGGTCAGATTTGACAAGGAAGATGTACAGTTGTCCAGTGATGGTACTCTAACCAAAGGTGTCTCTTTTTCATTCCAAATCACCCAGAGAAACATGTTTATATCTTGTGCTGTAAATTACTAAGTGATTTATGCCCATATCTCAGTTTTATGCATGTGCCTCCATTTAAGAAATAAAACATTTTTGCTCTTTAGCATGCTGGACTATGACACAGAGAACCTGAACTCTGAAGAAATCTATAGTTCTCTGCGGGGAGTTACAGAAGCCATTGAAAAGTTTAGTTTCCGAAGCCAAGAAGATCTGAATGAGCCAATTAAGCGTGATGGCAAAAAGGACTGTGATATCGTAAGTATCTTCAGGCTAACAGAGAACTAAGTATTGATTAACTGATGGTTACTGAATCTTCTGAACCTGACCACCAAGGTTACAGAGCTTCATCGTTATTTTTATCCTGTACTTAGAATAAGTATTTTTAGAGGCCCAAGGCACATTTACAAAAATTCAGAAAAGTCACTGTGACTATCTTTGCAAGGAATATCAAATGTCCTTTTCTCAGTTTGCTTTTGTTTATCCCATATTTTGTTCCTACTATGTGCATAAAATAGTGTCCCTGAAACAGACACCAGCCTCCTGGGAGCTTGTGGGAGAGCCAGGCAAGCAAGCACAAGATGGTGGTGCAGTGGATGTGGTCAGGACTCACACCCACAAGCCTGGTGCTAAGAAAGCTGCTGCAGAGGTGGTATGGCCCTCTGGGGTGACCTGATGGTCAGGAGTCTGTCAGCAGGAGAGTCATAGTCAGGCAGGGCCTGTGTGAAGGTCAGGAGAGGAGAGCAGCCCAGAGTTTGTTCATATTCATTATGGCTGAAGTGGAGAGTGGGTGGACCATGTTGTTGGGGAAGTTTTCAAAGAAGAGCCTCAGAGGTCAGCTCAAGAAGAGCCCACACACTAGAGGAATTTCTAGCCTGTTCCTTGACTTTGTCCTGGGGACAATGGAGAGTCTTTGAAGGATTTTTAAGCAGGGAAGTGGCATGGTCCCACTTAACATTTTAGAAAGATTGCTCTCACTAGAGGAGGATGGAGAATAATTCTGGAGGAAGTGACAGGGCAAGAACAGAAACAGAAGAGTCTGAAGTCAGAGCTGGTGCCGTTCAGTGGTGCCGTTCAAGTATGTGGTGACCTCTTGGGGCCATAGTAAATTCAGCTGTGGGTGTGTGAACAGTAGGACCTGTGAAAGAAGCAAGCCTCATGGTCATTAGGCTTGTAAAGATGCCAGTCAGGAGTGTCAGCCAGTGCCTGAGGGCAGAGGAGTGGCTTGATGGTAGTGAAAAGAACAGGGAGTCAAATCCCAGGTGAGGTTAAGGACAGAATCCCAAGGACAAGTGATGCCAAGAGAGTGAACCAGGGAGCCTGTGATTATGGGAGGTGGGCAAACTGTTGAGGAAGGACTTTCTAGACAAAGAGGTAACAGGTCAGAGGTGGAATAAACTGGTGCCAATGGATTCTTTAAAACTATTTGCATTAAATATTTAATTCTGTTTAAACCTAAATTATATGAAATATGCATTTACTTCAAAATGTTTTAATGTAGAATCAAGAGCTTTTCTTTGAGAATGAGGCCATTGTTTGGACTTCCATGTTTTTTTTATCTTAAGTAACTTTATATACATGGACTATAATTTCCAAATTCAGTTTCTTCCAAGAGTTAATTGGCTTTTGAAGGCATAGTTCAGTGCAGAGATGAGAATGGATACCAGACAACAGTGGGTTGAGGAGCACATAGAGAAACTGGGAAGAGATGGGGTTCATTCAAGGGACTTTTCAGGTGGGAGAGACTGACCTAAAAATCTCTGTTTATACCATGGAAGGGAGCAGATGACTCATGAACACAGAGCCTTCAGGATGTGGGACATGAAATGTGGGCCCAGGTGGAGTAATTGGCCTTAGCCAGGAAGGAGAGAGGGTGGGCGTGTGGGGAGGGCAGGGACTGTGTTCCCACTGCGGCTCCTGCTCTGAAGCCTGGGGTTTGGGGTGGGGAGGAGAATGAGAGGTATCTCCAAAAGCCCCCCTGGGAGTGAGGGGATCTGACTGAGGAAACGGAAGTCCTATCAATACAGTAGAGAGCCTAGGAAAACAGAGCTCTACCAGGGATTACTTTATCCAGTTATAACTGTAACATATGCCCAATGTATATTTAGATAATGGAAAGAAAAGAAATTGCTATCTCTAGATATAGCCACAGTTATTTTGTTCGTGTGTGTGTGTGTGTGTGTGTGTGTGTGTGTGTGTGTACACACACATTTAGGGCAATATGTAATATTGTTTTTATAAAAGTGCCATCAGGTTCCTTTTTGGTTCATAAGAATGACGATGAGAACAGTAGATGTGGAACAGTAGACTTGACGGGCCTGCTATATTCCAGAGGTGGGGCTATTCCTAAGTGAGATTCGACTAGAAAAGGCAGAGTGAAAAGTAACAGTAGAGCCAAAAAATCACACTATTGTGTGAGCTGTACAGATGTGCCTTCCTCCAAACCTAGTTATGATGTCAACGCATGACCTATCTGATGTGGGGGAGGGGGGTGATATCATATTGTGTGTCCTGCTTGGCACAGGACATGAGTGCTTTCCCCATTGGTATTCCTCAGTGTGAACTTTTATGGTTGCGTGATAATTCAGCATGTGTATGGGACGTGCTGTTTTGGAACATTTAGGTGATGTATAATTTTTCACCAAAGAAACCGCAGTGAACATGGAAAGAAGTGAAGCTTGATGGGAAGAAGTAAAGAGGGCAAAGCTTGAGAAGCCTCGCATTATTTGGAGGCAGGGTCTTACTAAGTTATGTAGGGCCTTGCTAGATTGTGAGTCTGGCTTTGAACCTGCAGTCCTCCAGCAGATGTGCACCACTGCTACAGATCTTCCATACCCTTTAATTCATCCTTAGGTTGCTTATAATACCTAATACAATGTGACTGCTGTGTAAACAGTTGTTATACTGTATTGTCTAGAGAATAGAGACAAGAAAATGAAGTCTGTACGTGTCCATTACAGATGCAGGGTTTTTATCTGAATAGCTTTGACCTATAGCTGGTTGAGTCCACAGATGTGGAACAGTAGACTTGAAGGGCCTGCTGTTTTCCAGAGGTGGGGCTGTTCCTGAGTGAGGATGTGACTAGAAAAGGTAGAGTGAAAAGTAACAGTAGAGCCAAAAAATCAAAGGGTAGGGCTGGTGTTTGGTTCAGGGGGAGAGCACTTGTCTGGCTTGCTCAAGACCCTGGCTCCCGTCCCCAGCACTGCAAAGAGTTGAGGAAGTTTGCAGTCCAGCATCATCATCATAATTACTAACTGGTTAGCTGAGAAGCTGAGGTAGGGCAAAACTGCATTGAGTGTAGAAGTCAGGAGTATGTCTCCCAGAGCCAGATGAGCAGACCCAGCCTGGACGGGGGAGGACCACAAAACGAACGTCCCATCCAGTGGGAGCACAGCTCACATGAGGAGAAACAAGATTGTCACACTTGGGGGAAAGTCCCCCCTAATGAGTAATCACAGAGTACAAGGCATGGAAATTGAAGTCCTGTTCTGCTTTTAAGTAGACATCATTTAATGGTAGAAAGGTTATAAGAAAGTAGGGCAATATTAGTGGCTTGGAAAAGTGATATAGTTGTTTTAGAATATATATACAAATGTGATTTTCATATCCTTTACCCAATAATCTGTGTTAAATAAGGAACTCGGCAAAAGAAAAGAACAATTTATTTATTTATCTAAATAAATAAATTATTTCCACAAAGTTGTGTATTTAACATTATTTACATAACAAAAAGCAAACCTTTTTTTTAATATAGAAGGGGAATAGTTGTGTTAATCTTATTTAAAAAACAAATAAAAATTAGTGATATGATTAAACATGATGGCTACAAAACTTTATTCACACATGAAATGCTTATGGAGTACGGAAAGCAAGATATAAACTGCTACATACCCTGGGGTTCCTCCACCCTGCATAAAGTCCACATATAGACTAAGAGTGGGATGATAAATATGAAACAAAAGTAAGATTTTATTTTTGTTAAAGGTGATTAGAACTAGGGTTGTGTAGCATTATTTTTTAAATGTCTGAAGTTATTTAAATCTCTCTCCTTTAATAAAAGGTGTTTTCATTATAGTAGCAATCTATTTTTTAGAAGAATTTGCAAAGAAAAAATTAAAATCATCTCTTGAATTGTCTTTTACTCACAGTAACTGCTATTAAGATATGATTATATCTTTTTAGTCTTAATTTGTTCAGGCCTATGCATATATTATATCCTTTATCTTAATTAAATTGGTATAAAATTATTTGTGGATGTTAAAAGCCAAATGCTTATCAGCTTTTTCACTAGGTATAGATCCAAAAGAATTGAAAGCAAGGTTTTAAACACGTATTTGTATACCAGTGTTCATAGCAGAATTATCCACAGTAGACAAAAAGTAGAAACAACCTATATGTCCATCAACAGATGCATGAATAAAGAAAACATGATATATATAGACAATGGAATATTATTCAGCCTTAAAAAGGAATGGAACCTGATATGTGCTATACCTGGTTGAATCTTGAAAAACATGCTGAGTGAAACAGGCAAAAGAGTCATAAAAAGGCAAATATTTTATAATTCCCTTTATTTGCAGAAAAATTCATAGAGACAAAAAATAGAATAGAGGTTATGGAGTGGGGAAAGAAGGGAAAGGAAGTTATTTTTTAGTGGGTGTAGAGTTTTTATTGGGAATGATGCAAAGGTTTTGGGTGTACATAGTGATGATGTTTACACAACATCACGAGTGTATTTAATGTCACCAAATCGTACATTCACAAGTGATTAAGATGACATATTATAAGTGTTTAACTATGAGAAAAACAAGCAAGTGCATAAGCACAAAATGAGAGAGATGTCTCGTCAGCAGCAGCCCAAGGAAAATGTTGCCTTGCAGTCCCCAGGGTGGTCCGGCTGCCTGGGAGCATGTCCCCCGTACTTTGGCAGTCAGTGTCTGGGTGAGAGAGCCTGTCCCATTGCCGTTGGTCAGCCCATACTGACTTGGTTACAGTGCCACCCTGCAGAGGGGGCTAGCCAGGCCAGTGTGCCTCAGGAGAGGCCCCTAGGGATAGAGAGGCCAAGACATGGTGTGGGGCCATCAGAAGACTGGGGCTTTGGGGCTTTTGTTTTTCAAAGACAGTTCTTACAGTATTCTTAGGGGGAAAAAAAAAACAGAACTCAGAAAATAACAAAGATTAATTATTTGACCCTGAGTCAGAACTATCCAGAGGAGAAGTGCCTCTGCCCAGGAGGTGCTGAGGTCCCCCTCGGTGGAGGTGACCGCTGTTGTCTGGCGCAGCCTCATGAATACATACCGGAACTGACCAGGGGGCTAAAGAGCCTTAGGCTTAGTGATCGCAGCTGGGAGTGTCTCTTGGGGGACTTTGGCAGGGCATCTGTGAGAGGCCTCACCCTGGTCTGGGAAACACAGACCTCACTGTCACACATGAGGATCCTCGAGTACTGGTCACGGAGGGTACGGCTTTCCCTTCCCAAGATTCTTCAGAATGTCATGGAATCAATCCCTTGGAAATGCTTGAGTACAACCAATCCCCAAATAACAGAGTAAAGTAGATGTAAGTGTAAGTGGATGACTGGGTGGACACAACAATCCTAAAGGTGTATTCCCCTTTATGGTAGCTTATGAGATGCTCCTAGCTGTTCTTTTGTCTGTGGCCAGGTTTCCAATGAAAATCTCTGGCCCTAGTAGTATTTCTGGGCATTCAAAGAAAACCTGTGTTGACAGTCCCAGAAGGGAACTGACTGTGTGCTGTGTTCCAGGTGTCCCGCGACGGAGGAGCTGCCTCGCCAGCCACCGAGGGCCGGGGAGGCAGTGAAGGGGAGGGAGGCAGGACAGCTCTAGACAACAAGACCTCCCTCCTCAACACCCAGCCTCCGCGTGCCTTCCCAGGACCGCGTGCACGGGAGTACAACCCGTATCCCTACTCAGACACCATCAACGCCTACGACAAGACCGCCCTGAAGGAAGCCGTGTTTGACGATGACATGGAGCAGCTCAGAGATGGTTTGTCTCTTTGCTTGGTTGTACTTCATCCAGAAACGCCTTCCCTCTTGTCAGACCATCCCTGAGCGTACTGATCAATTATAAATGGAAATATTGGGTCTGTGCTGTTCAGTTGTTGGCTCAGACTCCACTTACTGAATCCTGACCTGTGCTTAGGCATGCGAGCACACAGTGGACAAAAGCCTCAGCAGTCCCGGCCCTCTGCACACTTGCAGTCTGGTCATGGAGACACCAGGAATAAATAATCACACCAGCTGTGTAAAATCGCAGCCGGGACAACTATGCAGAGAAGGCCAGCTAGTTCCTCCACTGGGGAGACATCATGAGGAAGCCAGGCCTGAGTGGGCAGGAGCTGATGGGGAGGACATCCTAACACAGAGTTCAGTGCACAGTGTCTGGGAAGGCCTTGACCTCTGCCTTCCCAACTCCCTCAGCCATGGAAGTGAGATCAGAAGTACCCCCAGAGGCTCCCCTCTTCTCTCCCAGTAGCCCTTAAGCAGCCCTCCCTGAGTTGTGCCATGGTGAGAGAGAGGCCAGGTAGCATCACAGAGCGCTTGCTTTACCATGTGTGTGCGTGGTGCTGAGCAGAGTACTCATCTCACTGAAATAGAAGCCTTCTTTCCCAGTTCACATATTAAGAAACTGAGGCTCAGAAAGGTTATGTTTCTTGCATAAAATATAACATAGGTAGTCCGCAGTAGAACTAGCCTGGGTTTTTCCTTACTCCCATATTAAGACCAGTGTCCAAGGACTAGTGATAGAGGGCCCTGGATTCAACCCCAGCACCAGAAAAATAAAAGAAAAAAGAGCAGTGTTTATTATTTAAAGTAACGAGTAGGAATGTATAGGTTTGAGGGTATATTTTTAATGTAGCGCTTACTTTTATCATTTTTTACCTCACTTGTCATGTTCACTTGTTTTATTTCCACTTCACAGTGACTTAGTGGTGCGTGCCTATAAACCCAGTGACTTGGGAGATCCAGGCAGGAGGATTGAAAGTTCAAGGCCAGCCTGGGCAACTTAGTGAGACCCTGTCTCAAAATTAAATATAACAAGGGCTGAGGATGTAATACGTCCTGCCCCCCCCCCAAAAAAAAAAGAACAAAAGAAATTATGTGTATATGTCTTATGTCAAAGCCTACTGTTTTATTTTTGAGTGAATAATTAACTGAGAACCCTAAATTAGAACGCTAAGCAATGAAGATCCACTCACCTGCCTTCTGTACGTTGTGAAGTGTGAGGGCCTGGGTGGCCCAAGCCTGTTGGGTAGCAGGCTCACAGTGATCACACGAGTATGAGAGGAGGGCTACGGGAAGGGCATATGCCAGATGCAGAGACACAAGGAGAGAGAGGGATCAACAGTGACAGATGTTGGGTTTGAAAAGAAGCCCTTCCGTGGTCCAGGAGCTGGAGAGCAGACCCTGCTGGCTGTCCACTGCCACTGTGGTGTGTAGGCCCTCGGCATCTGTCCCAGCACTGTTCCCTGGGCAGTGGGCTCAGGGTGTGGAGTGTCTGTGACTGCGTTTTCTGGGAGAAGTGGCCTGTTTTCTTCATTGCTTGTAGAATTGGAACATCATTTACCTTATCCATTATTGATTTTGATTAAGGTCGAATCAAGCTTAGAATATCAGTTATTATTTATCTACCAACTGTGTACTAAGAGGCTTAAAGAAAAAGGTGGGATGGCAAGGGGGAAGTGACAAGCTTCTTTGAACAATTTAAACTTCCTTGTGTGCTTTTCTTCCTAATGTCAGAAGCTAAAGAAATATGCAAATATACATTTCAGTAGTTCTTCATATTTGCTTGATTTGTCTGTTTTCCTCTCTCTTTAAAGTTGCATATTCAGAATTGAGTCTCTTAAACAAACGTGGAAAGAGACAGGATAGGTCTTTCTACCGGTAATATGATTCAGGGCCTTGCAAGTAACTGTTCTAAGTGATCTTGTGCAGGCTGTTCCGTCTGAACAGACAGTCTCTAAATAGTGCAGACACCTTTTTTGATATTTGTTCATTGTGCTGGTTCCCAAGCTGTGGACATTCAAAGGGAACACGTTAGAGATGATGGTGACCTAGAATACAGGTGTACTGGAGTGGGTCTGTCCTGCAGTGGAACAGAGTTTGGGAAAAGAATACAGTCAAGAAGAGGCTTTTGGCTGGGTGTGGACTTTCGGAGGGATCTAGTATTTTCTCTGTCTAAAATTAAAGGGAAAAGATGGCAAGGAAAGGCAGAGCCAGCAAGAACTGCACTGGACAGCTGTCATGGCCTGGGAAGGTCTGCAGGGCTGGGGGAGAGCACAAAGGGAAAGGCACAGGATATGGGGAGAAGGAGAGGATTGCAGGAGCCCTGTGGCCAGCATTTCCTCCTGAGGTGACATCTGTCATGTGTTTCTCCCCAGTGCCCATTGACCATTCTGACCTGGTGGCTGACCTGCTGAAAGAACTGTCCAACCACAACGAGCGGGTGGAGGAGCGGAAAGGTGCCCTGCTAGAGCTGCTCAAGATCACCAGGGAAGACAGCCTGGGCGTCTGGGAGGAGCACTTCAAGACCATCTTGCTGCTGCTGCTGGAGACCCTTGGAGACAAAGATGTGAGGCGCTGACTTGTCCCCACACAGCCCCTTTCCATGTGGCAGGTTTTGATGTCCTTTGCTGAGGAGGTGTTAGCTTCTGCTTTCATTTCTGGATTGCACTCATAGTTGACCTCAAAACATTTAATTCAGTTTTCACATAGTTTAAGGTAACATGTTTATTAGTGATAGGCCTCTACTTCTCTAACTGGATTTGCAGTAGTTGAGGGAAACTCATTCTTGCATCTAGTTACTTTGACACAGAATTGCTTAAAACTTCATTAGAATAGAATGTGTCTCTTAGGATGCATCTTCTTCCTTGTGAATTCATTTCTGTTTTACATGTAATGGAGAAGTAGAAGGGTTTATTTTTTTAAAGACTCTTAAATATTGCATCCCCTGAAACTCCATCTTGGTTCACCCTACTTGTGTTCACAGTTCCTCTCAGTAATCTGGGTCAGTCAGTCAAGTGACAGTTGCATCACTATGACTCCTATAGTATTTGTTTTAGAATTAAAGACCCTCTTCATGCTAGGACACTTGAAGGTGACATACTAGGTATTTGTGACATGAATAGATGTTAGGAATTGCCAGAATTAAACTTTTTAGAAGTAAAAATCCATCCCTCCACATTGGCCTTGTGTAGGTTAGCAAAAACAGCTACAGTGTGTGTGTGGTGAGGAGCTAGTTGGGCAGGACTAGGAGACGCTAACCAGGCCTGCCCAGGGTCATCGTGATGGTGACTCGCGTGACAGAGGAGGAAAAGAGGGTGGCTTACTCAGTGCTTGGGGGTAGGGATAGTAAGACAGAAGAAGGGTAGCGAGAGGTCTGCACTAACTTCTTTACATCCAGTACTGGCTGCCGAAACAGTCGCGCTTAGCTGGGCTCCATCAGGAGGTGAAATGATGGCCCGTGGAAAGCAGGTGGTCGTGTGTTCGTGTGCAAATTGTACAGCTGAGTGACAAGGAATCAGGATGTACTTCTTGGCTGTGTTTGGTGTAAACTCCATTCTCTTTTCTTGAGATTAGCCGTCTGTTTGGGATGGCTTTCCTCCAGACACATGACTCGGGCCTTAAACAACTCCGGGCCTGTACCCTTCATGATCTCATCACATAGAAGGTCAGGTGTGCCAGCAGGTCTGCAGCTGTCTCTCAAGAGTTCACAGGCCATGCCCAGGAATGAGCTAGATGCTTTGTGTGTGTCCTTTGGTATACTTTACAGAAGCGTAATTTCTCTCCTGAAGTCTCAGGCAATCCGGCAATCCCCAGGAAACTGATAATGATCTTGGAGGTGTCATCCTCATTTGGTCTGCAGTTCAAAGCTCATTCAAGAAGCCTCTGTGGTTCCTCCTAGGGCTGGGTCTGGGATGCACCATGCCACACAGTGCCTGCCCGCCTAGAGCTAACTGTCTAGAGCGTCCCTGTCAAGTAAACCATGCAGTCTGGGTAGAGGGGTTTTTGAGGTGCCGGGGAACCCAGAACTAGGCGCTGGGCCTTTCGGACCCTGAGCTGGTGTGGCTCCTCAAGGGTGTGTATTGTTACTGAGGATTGCTTTTCCTCTCATACCCAGCATTCAATTCGAGCACTGGCATTGCGAGTTTTACGGGAAATTCTGAGAAACCAGCCTGCAAGATTCAAAAACTACGCTGAGCTGACGATCATGAAGACTCTGGAAGCCCACAAAGACTCCCACAAGGAGGTGAGCCAGGGCTGCTGAACAGATGGGGCTGGGGAAACAGGTGGGTGGGGAGAGAGGACAGGGAAAGAGAGTCTCTCCCTCTAACTCAGCCCATCGTACAGTGTGAAGTTTCCATCGCCATCATTATGGCTGAGCAATGGGCACATTTAAAATGCCAGCTAAGCATCCCTCTAGTTCTCCGGCCCCAGGACTCCAACTGCTTGTTGGAGAGCAGGCAGGATGTGTGTCCACCCTGCACATGTGTCACGGACAGTGGCTTCTTGGCAGACACCTGGCTGATGACTTGTTCAGTACCTGTGGCTCGATAGTCCCGTGAGTGGCTGGAGGCCCACAGAAAGTGGGCATCCATCCTAAACAAAGGAGTTTAGCAGCACCCTTCAATAACAGGACTGTGGGAAACAAACTTTGTAAATTTAGAACGTTAGAAAATTTAAAATGACTTTGACCCCAGTGAGACGTAATTGCTTCCTCGGATTACTCTCTTGGCTCTTAATTGATCCTTTTATAAGCAGGTTTGTGGATTAAGGGACTTGGGATTAGAACAGGTCTATGGAAAGAAGGAAACCCTAGGATTGAGGATGTAACCCAGTGGCAGAACACTAGGTTTGGACCCCAGCACCACAAAAGAACAAAATCCAAAGAATGAGACTCTAAATGGAGTGTTTCTCTTTGACAGTGGCTACTTGAACAGTGGTGGTTTTGACCTCTCTAGTCACTAACTTGTGGCTCAGCAAGGGCAGCATCCCCTGCTGTGGCTTGGCATGCCTCCACCTGCTAGTCCTAGCACAACTCCAAGTCCATAGGCAGTAGCTGTGTTTTCCAGCTAATAACTTGTGTTCCACAACCTGACCTGGTTGTGTGATGGCGAGAATCAATAATGTGTGAACAAAACACTTCCATTTACAAAAGTGCACTTAAAAATGAGGATTGGCTATGCTAATATAATCAACCAAAGTTCTCCCAGATGAGAAAGGAGGATCCCAGAGAAGCCTGCCCAGCAGTGAACCAGGTCTTGGTCTCTTGTAAGGGACAGATGGCCTGTGCTGACTTGATTTCTTTTTTAAAATCATAATAGCTTGTCCTTCAAAAAATGAAGTGAAATTGATTTTCTTTTTTACCTGGATGATAATGGTTGCTTTCACAGTAAAGGACATGTTTGAATGGAAGATTAAAGTGAAATCATAAGCTCGCAACAGTATATTGGCACGTACTGACTGTTCCATTGCAGGGTGTCTGTCTTTAAACCAGATCTTGACAATAAGAAGTGTTAGGTAATAGAATTAAGTCATCTGTCTGCTATTTACTGTTTTCTTGGGATATTTTGTTTTTTCCCTGCAAAATGAGTGATCTAGAAGAGAAAGCTCTTCTGGATGCAATGCCCTTACATTGACCAAGGGAAAAGCAGGAAATCTCCTGCCTCAAATAAATGCAGCAACTCTGTATGAAGGTGGAATTCTTGTAACCTGAGCCCCCCCACCCCACCCCCACACACACTGCTGTCATCGTTGACCTGACACAGCCCAAGGAGGAGACTGTTCTGAGTGGAGCGCACATGTTGGCAGACTCCCCTGCTTTGCATACTTTCAAACTCACCTTGACTCTGTGCCCTTGCCATTCCCTCTTGAAGCTGCAATCTGTCACACTGCCAGAAGCTACTTGGGCACCTGTGTATTTAGGTTTTAGGTCTTTTTCTTGTTTTATATTTTCAGATGAAACCCAGACTTCAGCAGGGAATACTAACATGAGGGCTGGGGAGGTGGCCTACTAGTAGTAGAGCGCTTCCTCGAATGTGTGAGGCCCTGTATCACACACACCAAAATAGAAACAAAACAACCCAGAGACGTGACGCACACCTGTAATCCCAGCGGCTCAGGAGGCTGAGGCAGGAGGATCACGAGTTCAAAGCCAATCTCAGCAACCGTGAAACACTAAGCAACTCAGTGAGACCCTGTCTCTAAATAAAATACAAAACAGGGCTGGGGATGTGGCTCAGTGGTCGAGTGCCCCTGAGTTCAATCTCCAGTACCAAAAAAAAAAACCCTGAGTGGCTGGTTCGCAAAGGACTGCTCTGAGAGACACTGGCACTGGTGTCCTGTCTTGCAGGCTGTGCTAGTCACCATGCCGCTGTATGTTAGCTCTGGCTGTGGAACCGTAGTAGTGCAGGGCAGCTTCTAGAAACACCTTTTCTAGAATCTGAAACCTGTCATAAAAGCTGTTGCACAGGATGGATAAGGTGAGGCTAATGACAAGGTGGCTTGTTTTTTCATCCTGTAAATAAGAGTCTGTTTTCTGAGATTCTTTTAAAAGGAACTGTGTTCCAGGAGAGGTGGCACATGCCCCTATTTCCGGCTAATTCTAGCTCCTCAGGAGGCTGAGGCAGGAGGATCTGAAGTTGGAGACCAGCATGGGCAATTTAGCAAGATCCTGTCTTAAAGAGGGCTCGGGGCAGCTCCATAGGAAAGCAGTAGCTTGGCATGTGTGAGGCCCTGGGTTCAATCCCTAGCACCACGAAATAAGTAAATAAAAATCAAAGTAATTGTGGGGGAAAACATTTCTCTAACACACTGAAAATGTACGAGGCACTAAATCTCCCATAGAGCTGCCCATCTGAAGCTAATGTGGATCTCCTGTGCTGAGCCTGAGGGGTGGAGAATTTGGATAGAAATTTAGACATTTTATTTTAAAAGGAGTTGTTTGTCAGCTTAGACATGATCTTTTTTTAATATTTATTTTTTAGTTATAGCTGGACACAATACCTTTATTTCACTTATTTATTTTTATGTGGTGCTGAGGATCGAACCCAGGTTCCGCACGTGCAAGGCGAGTGCTCTACCGCTAAGCCATAACCCCAGCCCAGACATAATCTTTTCATAGTCCCTATTTAATAAGTAAATCTCTTCCCTTATCTAACTTTTTTTTTAATTTTTAGTAAATGATGTTGCTGTTAAGTTCTGGTGTGCCAGTAATGAAGAATCTGCAGTTTACAGTGGCGTTGGCATTCAGTTAACACCTTAAAGGGCTGAGGCTTGGTAGTAACCTTTTAAAACCTGGAGCCCATTTTCTGCTTTCCATGATAACTCCATTAACTTAAACTCTTGTTCTTTTAGAATTTGTAGTCTGTTTTGGGGTCAGGTACAGAATCTCTCTCTGCTGCTGGCCACCTTGTTTATGACCCTGTATGAGCAGGACTGTTGAGAGAAAAAAGGGAAATACACTTTTTTCTTTTTTCTGGCAGTTCTGGGGTTAGAACTAGGACTTCTCCATGCCAGGCAGGCACTCTACCACTGAGCTATACTCCCAGCATGAAATAAGCTTTTAAAGCTATCATCTGCTTCACAGATTTTTTTTTTTTTAAACCCAGAGGCACTTTACACTGAGCTACATTCCAGCTCTGTCTATCTATTTATTTATTTAAAATCAGGGTCTCACTGAGTTGCTTAGCATCTCGCTTTTGCTGAGGCTGGCTTTGAACTCATGATCCTCCTGTCTCAGCCTCCCAAGCTGTTGAGATTACAGGCATGCACCACCGCTCCCAGCTTATTTATTTTTAAGGCAGGGTCTCACCAAGTACTTAAGTTTCACTGAGTTTCTGAGGCTGATCTTGAACTTGTGATCCTCCTGCTTCAGCCTCCCAGTCACTGGGATTATGCTGCATAACTATTGCTACATAAAACTGTTCACAGACCTTGCTATCCATTTGCAAAGCACCTATCTCTTGGGAACATATGGATGTGTCAATTATAAATTATAAATCATTTCAAAATGCAAAGATGATCATTGCTCCTAGCCATGTGTCTTTATAGAACCCACAGGGTTTTAAAAGTTGTCAGTAAATGTTCTATTTGAACTAAAAAGAAGTGCCAACTGTACTTCTTGAAGATGTTGTAACCTCACTATTAGAGTTAGCATTTTCTGAAGTTGGCCACATCAGTCAATAATCAGTTCTATTTGCCCACTTAAAAGTGGAAACTTAGTCAAGTGTTTTGGCACACTGGTGGTCTCAGCTACTCAGGAGGCAGAGACAGGAGGATTCCAAGTTCAAGGCCAGCCTGGACAATTTAGTGAGACCATGTCTCAAAATAAAAGGGCTCAGGATATAACTCGGTGATAGAGCACCACTGAGATCAATCCCCAGTACATAGGGGAAAATTAATAAATAAATTAAAATAGAGAGGAAAATAGTAGCATTTCATGTCACTGTATCGGACCACCAAATATTTCTAACCACACATAAAAATCTTAGTGTTTAAGACATTAGAATTCAGCTTTAGGTGGTTTGGCTTGTTTGGGGAAGTTGGATTCTTAAATAAACATAAAATAACTATTATGCCTGTGAGATTTTATTTCTAAATCATTTTCATTTAAATTTTATCTTTTATGACCTTAAGGAATTAAAAGTGAAATCAGATCAAAGTTAGTTTTAAAATAAGAGAATTTTCTAGAACTAGCTGTCTGCCTTCCCTCAACCAGCCTGTTTTGCTTTCTGCAATGCTTTTGGCCATAGAAAAGCAAGTAAGCCAGAGAAGCCATGTTATTGAGCTGGTGTTCTGCAGAAGCCTGTTACAATTCCCATCTAACCTTCCAATCACACCCCTGTGCAGAGGAATGGCCCTCAGAAGCCCACAGGGCAATTCCCATGTGTCCGAGGTTCTGAGGAACAGTATACTGAGGGGACCTGGAGAATTCATAGCACCTCCCCAGACCTTGCTTCCTCCTTATCTGTTAGCCCAGGGAGTGGACTAAGATGGCTATCCATGTCCCATCCAGCTTCCAGATAGTAAAAGTTGCTATTGAGTAACAAACCTAAATCCTCATCAGTTCTAATCTCCCATTTTCCATGAGTCCAACCTTGGGATTTGACCAGAAGCCCCATTTCCTTTGGAATTTCTTGCTTTTTAATTAACAGACAAAACCAAAAGCCTAGATAGTCTCTTTGAGCAATTCCAAGTTGCTGAGCCAGCAGCCTGACCCTGATAGCAAACTCTGGTCAATGTTTTGTG